AGGAGAGTAGGGTGGGAATGGTCATCTTCAGGTGCAGAAATGGAGAGAATTTCAAATGTAGAGTGGTATTTCTCTGACTTGTGACTCGTCAGGTTTGACAAGGGTTTGGCGGGTGTGGGAGGAGAGTAGGGGGATTCTGCATGACTTCCAGGTGGTTTTCCCCAAGAAATCAAAATGACCAAAGATTGCTATCTTCAGAATAGTGGCTGACTGTTTGGCTACAGAAACTTGGAATGAAAAAACTTGGAACCTGCTGCTGCCCTGAGTGTTTTTTTTTCCAGATAGGCAGCAGCCAGCACTTGCTTGCTAAAAGAAAGTGCATCAGGCTCCACTTAGAAGCTGAATCACCCTTAATACACACTCCTCAAGTGTGTCGTTCTTTGAAACAAATCTGAGTGGGAAACTGAGGATAGAAAGGGGAATCATTCCTTGCCCAAGGTCAGTCAAGGTTCCATAATGCAAGAGAGAATATTTGGCAGTAATTCTTTGTTACCCTGTTTCTGAGTTGCTAGTGGGAACTCTTCCAAAACAAATCTAGTCCAATGGTCTAAATGCCTTATTTTGTAGTTTACTTTCTGTGTTGCTGCCTTTGAATTAGAGTTAATGAATTTCCTACTTCTGGCACAACAGACTTATTTAGAAGAAGACCAAAGAGTTCTCCTACAAGATACTGCTACTCTCTGCTCTGTATGGCCCTGTTCACTTGAGTGAATGGTAGAGGTAAAAGGAAGTTGTTGGAAGGTTCTTACCTATTTTCCTGCTCTAAGATAATGTTAAATAAATTTGAATTTAATTCAAAATGCGGATAGGAATCCTGGCTTGGAACTCTTTGGAGAAGAGGGGTAGACTTTGCTGTAGACAGGACAGTCAAAAGAAAGGAAGAGATCAAGTAAAGGAACTCACCAAATATAGCTATCTCTGGGAGAAGGAGCTGGGTTGAGCCCAGGACAGGAAAGCCTCCTCCTGTGTTAGGCACATCTGTCCTTTCCAGCACTGTCTTCAAAAGTCAGAAGGAAAGGTGGACATCTTCATTTTCCTGTAGGTGTTTTAGTGGAGACCACATAATCTCTACGTAGCTGTTTTCACACTCTCAGAATTAATTGTTTATTTTTTAAGTGCTGTAAAGAAAGAAATACTTGGTTTGCCGAAGATGTAAAAATCATGACAATAGTGAAAACTCCTCAAGCAGTTGGTATTGCAGAGTAGTCAGAAAATGATGGATAGCATCTTGATGCAGAGAAAGAAACTTTTTAGAGAAGGTGGGAAGTAGAGGTAGAAGCTTTTAATTATGTTCAATGCACAGGCATAATCTAGGCCTATACACTTCTCTCAATTCTCAGTTAATTTGATGTCAATATAAGGCTTGTACAGCAACAGGAATTGATTTTTCTTTTTCGTGTTCCTCCAAAGCTCTTGTAATGATAATTATTTTTTCACTGTCTTTTCTCACATTCAGACATCACTTTGGGAAAATATAGTCTCCTTGAGGATCAGCACAGTTTCTATTATTTCTAAACCATCCATTCACTGTTTGTTTTTTTTTTCAATCCTGTTTTAGCATCTTGTGTCCTTTCTTCAAACAGTCACTCCCATTTCACTTTTCATCTCTTTCCTCACCTTCAGTTTCATCAGCTAAAACAATTCGCAGTAAAATGTTTTGTGCTGACACTTAAATGTCATCACCAAGCTTTACATGGCTTATGCTACAATGAAATGAATGGTATTGGTCATGGGGAGGCATGCTGCTTGGAAGCGTTTTCAGGCTCAAGGCTTTTTAGCCTGTTCTAAAAGTGAAATCTGTATCAGCTAATCTTGAAAATACAAATGATATGAATCTCATATTTGGGACAACTCAAGGCATATGTATGTAAACTTTCTTAAATGTGGTTTTACATTTTGCTGTGTCTAGGTATATTATGCAGGCCAGAAACATGTCACATGGTCTGGATCTAGCTCATGGATTCCTCCTGGGTAAGGTGATTCTAGTCTGTTTAAATATCACTGGATTTTGAGACCATAATTAGAATTGAACTGACTGCCACATCCTGGTTGAATGGCCCACCCATCAGGCTCTTGGCTTTTCTAGGGTCAGGACACTGTACACTGAAGTGCAGTTTCCTTCTCCCCCAACCACTTCTAACAGTCTCTTTTATGTCACTAAAACTAATTTTTTTCTCTCCCTGCCCCCCCTTTCTTTTTTTAATTTATTAAATAATCTTGTTTTCATATTGTCGCAAGTTAAGGGCTCAAATGTACTATCTGTACACCAAATACAAGTGTACTACTCCTAACTGTTCCTGCTTTACTGAAATACCTTGAGTGTAAATAGAGTCAGAACAGCATGAGGTCCCCTTAGGAATTTCAGCAGCTGTTTGACCATGCAACTGATGTTAGAGGGAAGGGCAAGAAAATGCCCTCCCATAGAGGGTGCAGGTGACTTGCTAGAAGATAGCTCGCTATAGATGATATACAGGGTTGGCTCCAACTGACATGTTTATTTGTTTTTACTTTTAATTTGTCATATAAAGTACTTAGTGCATTTTGATATGAAGCATAACTTGCTAATGAGACCATACCTGCTATTTGGGAGAGTTTGTGAGAAGTTGTCAATATGATGACCACATTCTGAAGTAGTGATTTCTGCAAAGCGCTAAATTAATTCACATTGATCTTACAATACTGGAGGATCTAGCTTTTGTCTGTTGGTACACAGGAGGCCTCTTTCAGCTCCCAGTGACTTTGACAGAAGTGCAAGCAGGCCCCAGCTATACTGCAGACCTATTTCCATAGGTTCTACATGTACGCATTCAATGAATGCATGTTACAGAGCCATTTTTGGTGCTTCTGTAGTGCTATTTGACATCATAACTTCATTTCACTTTTCTCCTTTTACTGCGTGCCCCCCTGAGACCTGTGTTATTTTGACTTGTGACATCCTGGGAGGCCCTACCTCTCATGGCAGTGCAGCTTCTGTCTGGAGTATTGACCTTCCCAGAACAAATTCATTAGTGGTCAGCATGGCCTCCATGGTTAGTTTTACCACACCTCCCACCCCCCTCTTTGAGCCATGTGTAGATTATTAGGCTATTTTCTTCTTGCTGGGAGCAATTTGGTTTTAATTTAAAATAAATATTCTCTGTGAGAATTACACTGCTGCTCAACTTACTTTTTTTCTTTTCAGAGTGCTCTTCTATACAGAAGTATGCTACGGATGTAGCTTGTTATAGCCTCCATCCCTTTGGACTATTCCTTGCTCAGCTTTTCCGTGTCATGGTGTGCCTGTTCAACACCTGGGTATCATCTGCCATTAGGCAGTGATCCCACTGTTGTGGGACTGTCGCACCAAAAGACCTTTGTTCAGTGCTTATAACCACACGAGCCCTTGAGAAGGGAAGTCTTGCTTTCTTCCACAGTCACCCAGCTAATCTTTATCTTTGTTAGCAAAAAAATGTAGTGGAAGGAACTGAGACAGCTGATATGGAGATTTCTGACTGTAGCTCAGAGTGTTTGGTGTTCTGTTGTAGCACTTCTGCATCTTCAGAGAGCGTTGCTTTCTGGCTGAGGTATAAAGCTCAGAAGTATTAATTCATGCAGCTGGCTGGTACAGGGACAGCACTTTCAAAGAATCGCAATACAAGTAATTTTCCCTTCCCAGACCTTACAAATCATATTTTTATGTAACCGTGTGGATCTCATCTATATCCCTATTGAAGAATTTAACTGTAGGAAGAGCTTCCACATACAGAGTGGTCATCTTTGATCATCCTTGTTGCCTTTCACTGAACCTTTTTCAGTTCTACTCTAGGGGAGGGTATTAAATGTAGGATAGATTTATACAATAGCATAGTGATGGTCTCTGCTTTGGCCTCTATTCCTTTCCAGATAATCCTGAGTGCTCTGTATACTTCTGTGGGTAAAGTTTCTTCTCTGCTACTGAGCAATGAGCTGGTATCTCCGTGGAACTGTCTGTTCTAACACTGAGATCTTTCTCCTGGGTGGTAGTGATCTGTTTGGGGTCTATCACTGCATATGTGAGGTTGGGATTGGCTTCCCCATATGTGTTCCATTTCACTTGCCATTTTGTTATCCAGTCATTGAGTCTCTAGTTCCTTACAGTTTCCCTCACTGGTACTACCTTGAATAACTTTGAGTCACCAGCAAAGTCTCACTTAACTGTTCATGCTGTTCCAGATCACTGATGAATACACAGAGGCCTGCAGAATTGCACCGTGACCTCCTCCCTCCTATTGCAAAAATGGAAAGTTTACTCTTCCTATTTTTAGCCAGATGTTTATTCATGTAAGGACTTTCTTAGGCCGTAACTGCTAATGGTTCATGTCACGGCTGCTTACCTCACCTATAATTTCAAGTATGTATTGTAAGACCACCTTAGGGAATGGACTTTCATATTCTTTCATGTTTAACTGATACACTGTGGACTCATCAGTGAAAACACATCATAAATAATAACTTGATAAGAAAATCTTCAACTCTTCTATATGGAGTGTAATATATTACGGATATTGGTCCCCAAATCAATCATTGCTTATAATAGATGAAATGTAATTTGGTGTAATTCAACGCAGAGGTTCTGCTGGCATGCTGAATGAGTGACATGCCAATGTCAGATCACCAGGACCTCCAGATAGTTTCCTGTGCATACTTTAACACATGCATTTTATATATGTTTGAATATACCTTATTTTCTTGTGTATACCTGAAGACATGTATTTTATAGATGTTTGAATATAGCTTATTTCTACATGTGACTTTTTGATATTTCAGAAGTGTTCTGTACTTATGAAAAATGGGCAGAAACATTGCTATGCATCAGCAGTGCTATCCAAGTGCCGACTTCATTTCAGTGGAACACCTGGATTTCCTACAAGTTCTTATTACCTGGAAGAGTAATTTAATTTAATAGGTTTTTATGAATAAAGGCAAATGTTTAGAAAAATTTCTGCTTACCAAATGGGCTTTTCTCTTCGTGGTGTAACTCAGGTGTAATGTCTTTGCTGAGACCTCTTTTGCTGGATGTCGTCCCAACTATTCAACAGACTGCTGCTTTGGCTCTTGGGAGACTTGCCAATTATAACGATGACCTGGCAGAGGCCGTCGTGAAGGGAGACATTCTTCCACAGCTTGTGTGTTCATTGTCTGAGCAGAATGTAAGGCATCATTGTTTTCTTAAGTAATCATTTTTTTTTTTCTATTGCACAGGGCAAGGGAAATCTTTCTGTATCAGCTATGTGCTGTTATTCTAATACAGCAATAAATGTACTGAAGTCAGAGACAGCATGTATGTTTGAACCCCTGAGAGATCAATGTGTACTGTGTGCCTAAGTTTGACTTCAAATCAGCTTGACTTTAAAATATCATCTTACCTTTTAGTGCACGATAGGAAATATATTCAGAGCACTGTTATGTTTTTAAAATGTTGAGTGATGCTTTGTAAAAGGTCTCTCTTTTGAAATGAGACAATTTGAAAGCTGTAGTGATAATTGACTACAATTTGTGGACAATACCAGCCACTTGTAAAATACATATAAAAAACCTGAACTTCTGTAATGAAATATTTAATATCTCCAAACATAGCCTTTTGGAAATCTGTAGCATGAGAAATATCAAACCACTGACACAGGAAAATATACTGAAAGGTTTTCATCTTCATATTTGTCAAAAACAAACAAACGTGTAGTCACAATTGCAATGCAAATAAATCTGGTGGTCTCTTTCTCCCTTCTTGCAATTTTTCTTCAGGTTTTGCGTATATTCCAGCTTTGATTTTCCAGTGATCCTAACCTAGATTAACAGAAATACTTTCAAATAAGGTTCCTAATAACTGGAAAAAGAAAGAGACAGCTGGAAGTTAAGTACATTGATATCACAGCCATACTTAGGTTGCAGTTTTGATTTATTAGATTTAGGAGAAGTAGGATTTCAATGGAAATATAATTTGGAAAACTATATATTTTCATTTTCAGTCTTTTCAGGAAAACATAAATGTAAGTACTCGTATTTTTTTTTGTGCATATAGGTCATTGCCTATACAATTAATCTTAAAAAAAGAAAAGCTAAAGAAACTGGTATAGTATGGAAAGAAAGTTAAGGTTTTAGTTAGACAAGTTTATAACTGTTTTTGTTATTTTATTTCTATTTTTAAGGGAAGAAGGGGACCAAAACTATCCCCTATTTTGGTTTGGACACTATCCCCCTGCTACAACTCAAAGCCCTCACTAAATTAGCTTGAGTACTCTGATTTATCTCTTCCATGTTACTGCCCATTCTGTCATTACATCGAGATGGCTGTAATTCAGAATCACTTGGGGCAGCAGCAAGATTAGTGTGAGGTCATGGAAAGCCTACTATGCCTTGGTGACTGAGGGCAGGTGAAGGAAACTCATTATCCAGTTCATGCAGAGTTTAGCAATGCATGCAGTTTGTTACTTCCCATAGGCAAAAAAACCCAACCGAGATATGTTTCCATTCCACTCTTCATGTATCAACATCTATATTTAAGGAGGAGATTCTTTGAGCACACAATAAGTATTGATTCTACTGATTTATGGAGAACAGTTACAGGGTCACATCCCAGATCAATGTTTTGTCAATTAAACTGAGCAAAACACAGTTTTACAGTGTGTTCTGACTGTGCCTGTGAATACGGTTTGTTTGTAAATAAATGTGTTTTGAATAATAAAAACAAAGAAGTGTTTTTCTTTGCCAGGAACAGAATTACTTAACAGAAATAACATACCCATATTTGCACAGACATAGACTGGTGTAAACAACTATAGCTCCATTGAGTTCAGCAAAACTTAGAGTAACTTGCATTAGCTAGGTGTTTGACCATTTGTCTGTACTATTTCCCTTTAATTCTGTTCCCCCTAAATGATGTTTAATGCTTTGCTTGTAAATTATGTTTAATATACCTGCTTGTAGGCCTTAACTTAGAAGACTGGATTTTCGGCATCAAGGAATTATATCAGTACTGGTAAACTAAGCAGGGTCAAGGCATGTGTTTGAGCACTGGAAGATGACTGTGCTCTTTAATTGTTAATGTTGGTTTTAGCCAATGCCAACCATCAAACTACTCGGCAATGCCTGGACATGGTTTAGGAGATAGCACAAGGTGGGGACAGTTTCCAGTAGTATAGATGAGGCCGTTGCGCTTTGAGGGAAGAGGCGTTTAGGTGGGTGGACGTGGTATGCTGTGTCACTTCCCTTCAGGGCCAGGGAGTGGGCCTGCGTCCCTTTTGCTTCCTGTGGAGCCATTGCAGATGCTCCCCTGTTGCCATACCTTAGTGCTTTAGATCAGACTTTCAAAGGTGTTTGGGAACCTCACAGGATGCACAAAAGCACTCACGTGGTTCGTTGTTTCTCTGGACTTGATCCAAAAGGGATGTGGGCTTTGTGTTGTTTTAAGTTTTGGGTACCTTGACATTAGGAATCGAGCACTGTGAAGTGCCCGGGCTCCCTGTGCAGAGGAGGGGAGAATCAAGCATCCTGGAACGAGATTAAAGCCAGCAGGCACACAGACAGAGAGCCTTCTAGAGCTAGTCTGTAGGGCTGATCTGTCAAGTGCCAGGCTGGAAAGCATACTTCGGGCACGTGGATGTAGCAGTCGATTATTTGTGTCCCAATGAATCTTGCACTCATTGCTGCATAGTGGCTTCAAGAGGGAGTTGAACTGTCTTTCTCCCAACACAGTTGTCTGTGGCCAGAGTGCTTTAACTGGGCTCTAGATTTTGAAACTGCAAGGCAGGGGAAGAAATTTAATCTTCAGCTTCCACGTCCCAATGATAGCTATGAAACTGCAGGAGGAGACTGAAATATGACTTTTTTGGGGAAAACTTTAACTCTGCTTTTAGAAGAAATCACAACCACCACCGTAATTCACGTGGAACCCCGTGATATGTGCAGCATCGTATGCCATATATATGCTCAAAACATGTGTTTGGTCCAGCACTGAGGGAGATGGGTAGAACTGAGACAAGTGCTTGGATTTCGCTTGAACTTGTAACAGAGATGCCAAGCTGTTTAGTCCTGTCAAAAGTGAGCTGTTTCTGGACACATGCAGGAATAGAATCACAGGCTGCCTGGTCAAAACTGAGGGTCATCCAGTGTGGGTGTTTGGTGGGATGGGTTTTCAGGATCTTAACTGTGGGCTTAGGCAGTATTTAGACATTTCAGGATTCAGATCCTAAACCATTTTGTTGGATCTAGTTCTCTGTGCCTCTGTTTCCTGTTTGTAAATGCAAACAATGTTTTTCTCATAGAGATGTTGTGAGGGTATATACGTTAGAAATTGTGAAACCTTGCAAGTGTCACAGATGGGTAGAATTATTTTAGGAGGTTGCCCTGCATAACCTGTGTAATCTGGTTAAATATGTTAAGAGCTATTGTTTTTGCAGCTCTTATCATTCACTACTCACTTAAACAAACAGACTTATCTAGACTATTATCTTTTCCCCATATCCTCTCAGCCCTCTCATTTTTTTCTGTTTGTTTATGCACTTACTGCAAATTTTAGATAATGAGCTGTCTCAAAGAAGGACTGTAAGGTTCATTGTGTGATGTCTGGTGGTCCTGATTTGGATCTGTATGAGATATTGCTGCTACTAAAAAAGTTTAATTTATGCATGTCTGTACTGTATTATGCTTTGAACTATTTAATGTTAGTAAAAGCTTTTTTTTCTTTCTTTCTGATTTGTATAGCGTTTCTACAAGAAAGCAGCTGCATTTGTGCTAAGAGCAGTTGGTAAACATTCTCCACAGCTAGCTCAGGCAATAGTTCAGTGTGGAGCACTGGAAATGCTTGTGATTTGCTTGGAAGATTTTGACCCTGGAGTCAAAGAAGCTGCATCTTGGGCACTTGGGTATATTGCCCGACACAATTCAGGTAACAAGTTTCACATGTGTTATCTTTCAGCTTAATGCTATGTAAGAGTTACAATAAATTGCATTATTGTAATGTTCATAAATAGAACAATATGCTTTTTCTTCTCTACTGTTATAAAAATTTAATTTTGGAATAAAAACCTACTCTAACTATACCAATCTGACAATGCTGTACCTTTTGTGGGAAACTGGCATATCTGACACCTGCGGTGCCCAGTTATGAGAGGTGCTCTAAGAGGAGATGCATTGGGCCCATGGCCGGGAAGGGACACTCTGTTTTATTCTCCTTCATGAAGAGATTTCAGAATCTTTATGTATTGTGTAACTGTTACTGTGGAACAAAGTTTCTTTTGCTCAACATTAGTTCTTATTTTATATACATAGCAAAATGGAGGAGCCTGGGCAGAACCAGGTTTCATTCAGCTTGCAGCAGTGCCTGCAGGATAAATGTGCCAAATTCATTGCGCTGACTATGTTATCATTAGCCAGTAGACCACACTCTTCTCTGAGAGTCAGGAATAGATCCTAGGAATCTGATATCGAGCAGTTCACTGCTGTCTCACAAGCAGTTGTATAACTCACTGGCAGTGTCACGTTCCTATTTAAAAGTTGATCCACGTGGTTGATAATTCTTTTACCAGCTATTTATATAGTTCCAGTAAAAGTTTAGAGCTATGAATCAAAGAACTGAGGTAAGAAACTGCTGGCTGGAAAGAGTGGGAGAAATGGCTTGTGTTCATATTGTTTGAAGTTAAACTTATTCTAGGATCATAACATTAACTCATGCATTTATGTTTGGTTTTGGCTTTAAAATGTGCATAGACTGAATTTGGAAGTGATCTTCTTTCTTTTTTTAATCAATATGGAGTGTTGGATTGCAGAAGGCATGGGGGATTTCCCCTTACCACTTAGAGAGAGGGTTAACTTACTGGAACAGACTCCAAGGTTGTCAGCACCTTCCTAACGGACTGCTTTTTCTGGGGAACAAGTTCATTCTTGGGGCACCTCTGTGTGCTAAAGATCTTTTATCCTTTGGTCACCGGGTCTGAATCCCACCCTTGGTGGAAAATAATTGTTGCTTCCATCTGAAAGATATTTGTTTAAGTGTCATTTGAAAGTGTTCCTTTGTATAAATGTGTGTAGTGTAAGTGTGTGTCTGTGTTACTCTTAACATAAACATTTCTGTAGTTTTGTTATGTCAGTAAATCAATATTGACTCACTTTGATTGCCCTTCATGCTATTCACTGCATGAATGCTGGCTGATCTTTAGGGTGATCCAGTTCACTCTGTGATGGCATTGTCTGCAAAGATGGAGATGATGTGGGGGTAGTGAAGGCAACAAACTCCTTGTACAAATTTTTATTCCATGGTTATGAATTATTTATTCACTGACAGTGAATGGGTGCATGTCTTGTGTCAATTTATGCCAGCAATAAGAACAGCTTTTTCAGAAATTAGGTTGAAATTGCAAGTGCTACCAAGCTGCAAGCATCAGGACATGGACAGATCCCTAGATGTAATCAGTTAAAAAAACCCCAAAAAACCCCAAACCAAACCAAAACAACATGAAAAAAATTGTTCTTCCTCTGCCCAGCTACAGCCAACTTGGGGGATTTACCTTCCTCTATAACACAGTCACAGGAAGTCTCTAAAATGATTACTGAAAGTAGAGGAGTTCTACTGAAGAAAGATCACTGTGCGTGGTATGTTTCTTACACTCCTACAAGCATGCCTTTGCAACAGGATATTGTTGGAGATGGGATACAAAGATAGATGGACCTGTTCTTACCAACATCTGGTGTTTACTGTTCAAGAAACTCTGGATTAGACTCACATGCTTGTGTTGACAAAATCTGGCCGTTATTATTTTCTGTCATTGACTGTCTGTGGACACATATTGCAGATTAAACTCTAAAAATAGAGTTGGGTGTGAAATGGTTTTCCCCACCCACGAAAGGTTTTTCAGTTTCAAAAGTTGTTTCAGTTCCAAACTGGGACAACATTAAGACAAGATTTTTTTTTCTCTCCTGAAAAGACTGGGGGGTAGGGAGGCTTATTTGCCCCAGCAAGAGAAGTTCAATAATTAGGGCATATGTCTGGGATGTATGTGGGAGACGGATTAAAGTCCCGATCTGTCTTAGGCAGGATGTGAACCTCTGTCTCCCTCAATGCAAGCAAAGGCTCCCAGCATTCGGCGATAACTGTTTGCAATGGGAGGGTCTCCCTGCTTTTAATCAGAAATTCCATCCATGACCTGGTAAAGCTGCTCTCTAGGATCTGCGGTGTATGTTCCCATGAAAAGGCTTCCATTCTGAGAAATCAAGACTTCTTTTTTTTTTTCCTGATGAAAACATTCTCTGATTAGCAAGTTCCCTACTGTCTTCATACAACGATCTCTTAAAATGCAGTTCTTCTGTGAACAGATGTCTCCGGAAGGCCTGTGAGATTTTAGGTCAAGACAGATGTCTCATGAGATTTGAAGACACTAGAAATCTTGCCAGGTCAGATTCCAAAATTTAGGAACAGCTCTTGCAGTTCTGCTCTTTCTTGAAGATCCCTTTGAGCTGAATTTCAGACGCTGATCTTACTCCAAAGTATACAGATCAGTATGCTGTAATTTTGCCATTCATTGTTTCTACTATTTGTGTTTGAAAAGAAGTGTAAAGTGTTTCAAATACCATCAAAATACCATCAGGTTTATGAAAAGTATTTTGTAAATTTTTACTTATGCCATATTCAGTTACTTTTAAAATGCAAAATTCTTATGTTCGAGATATGCAAATAACTTAGCTTTCCATTTGCTTTGCTTACATAAAAATTTATTAATTGTCTCCTACCTGCTTCAGCATATTGTAAATTGGTAGGAAAACAAAAATAAACAACACTATTTATACTCAAGTATATTGCTGAGAGTGCAGTTATGCTTATTTTCTGTCATACAGTGGTACCCTTAGGATCATAGGATAGCTCAGCTTGGAAGGGACCTTAGGAGGTCTCTAGTCTATCTTCCTGCTCAAAGCAGGGTCAGCTACAAGGTTAGACCAGGTTGCTCAGCTCTTCAGTGATTTGAGTCTAGCAGTAACTTTGTCTTATTCCAGGGTCTAAGCTTGCCCTGTAATTAATGACCTCCATCCTTCTCCTGATGAAAGGTTTTCCCACTGGTTCCAGTGGAATCTTTAGCACTGTGGTTGTAGCGGTCTGCATAAACGTGTGATTTTGAAGTGCAGCCCTTGGGCTACTTGTGGGGATTAGAGTCTTCCTCTGTGGCTGTTACATGATCACACAGTCCTCAGAAAAATATAGTATGGGTGGTTGTTTTGGTCAAAACCTGTTATTTCCTGTGGATACACCTGCCACCACAGCAGGGTCTGTTTGAGAACCCTGGTCTGGACTGAAACTTGCATTTGCTTCCAAGCAAAGAAGGTTTTGCTGCTGCTCCACTATGTGAATATGGCATTTGTTCAGAGCTGATTTTCCTCCTCTGGGGACTACCTGCACATTCACTTTCTCACCTTAGCGGTCTGCATAAACGTGTGATTTTGAAGTGCAGCCCTTGGGCTACTTGTGGGGATTAGAGTCTTCCTCTGTGGCTGTTACATGATCACACAGTCCTCAGAAAAATATAGTATGGGTGGTTGTTTTGGTCAAAACCTGTTATTTCCTGTGGATACACCTGCCACCACAGCAGGGTCTGTTTGAGAACCCTGGTCTGGACTGAAACTTGCATTTGCTTCCAAGCAAAGAAGGTTTTGCTGCTGCTCCACTATGTGAATATGGCATTTGTTCAGAGCTGATTTTCCTCCTCTGGGGACTACCTGCACATTCACTTTCTCACCTTCATCTTTTCTCCCTAATCTTTTTTTTTTTATCCATACTATTATTGCCAACATGTTAATGTTAGTATGGATTTTTTTTAGTAACAACTTAAACCAGGTTAGATGAATCCTGTAAGACTTCCCACTGAGTTCAATGGGTATGTAGTCAGCATCTTACTGACTCCTCTTCGTTCACTTTCCACTCTTCCTGATCACATAAACGCATGACTAGGCCTCAGCTTGCTTTGAATTAATTTCTTAGTCCCTGATGAGTACTCTTGTATTGAGACAAATCAGTACAACTCTACTACAACTTTTAGTTGAACTGGTAACATCTTAAACTCCGAAGTCTTTCTTTATCAGTCTTTTTTCTACCTCCGTGTCAGTCTGTCTTCATGTCTGCAGTATCTCCATTTGCTAAAATCTGCCTCATACCGTTCTGGACAAAAGCAACTAATTTATGGTGGGTTTTGAGTCTTCGTTCTCTTGTCTCTGAGCATACGTAGAATAACATTTCCTACGTTCACTCACGTAGGGAGGAGTCCTACTTTATCATCATGTAATTGGACAGGTTCCTTGAGTTGTACCCCAAACTGAAGTTCGAAGCCCAGGGTTTTCATAACTTCCTGTGGAATTAAATGAAGTTCATAAATTAGTTTTTCTCTGCTGTCTTTCTCTTCTTCAGCTATTGGTCTTGTCTTTGCCCTTATAATGCAGTCTTGGCATATTGTTCAGAAAAGTCTTTTTGTAATTTGTTCCAGCTCTTTTAATTTCTTTGACTGAATATTTTTAAAAATTTCTTCTTGACAACTGTATTTTCTCCTTTAACTCTTTCTCAGCCTTCATTTTTTTTCAGCTCAGTCTGTGTTTTGTAATTGGATAGCAACATTTCATGAATCCTTTGGTGTGTAGTCTGAATTAAAGATGTTCTACCAAGTGGGAAGGTTAATTGAGCCTCTTTTTGAGAAAAAAGAATTACAATTATCATAGAATCATTAATACTTAGAATCGTAGTTTTGGGCTGAGTTTGCAGGGGAATGTGATGGGAAGATCTATATTTTCTTTTGTCCCTGCCTCAGCTTTCCTGTTTTTCTGACAGTCCATGTACTGCTTGTCTGTCTTTTGACACATGGTCCAGCCCTACGTGTGGTAAGTTATTAGCCATGAAGCTTATAAACACCACTGAAAGAACAACCATTTAATTAACCATGACCAACAGGCACCGTCAGTATTTAAATGATGTCAGACTCCTAACAGCAAGAACTGATCAAAATTGAATCAGATTTAGTTTGCTCTTTTAAAATAACTTTTATGGTTGCTTTTGCATGCCTGGGTGTAGCTGTGACCTTGAAGTATTGCTCTTTCTCTCCCTACTTGAACTTCATGATTTCAGCTCATAAGGCATCAAAGAAACCCATTCTTCTAGTAGTATCCTGTCCTTCTTGACATGATTTTCCTGATATTAGCATCTCTTAGCAGACTGTAGGCAATTGAATTGGTTGCTCTCAAGTTGCTTCTGAGGCACAGACGGATGGATTAATCTGGACTGTTGGTCAGTAGTTCATGATGTATACCACTTGGTCAGTGTACAGCATCAAAATACAATTTGAAGAAATCAAGTATGGCTTTTTCCATGAAAAGCTGAATGTAGGTTATACCACTTGTATTGATTAGCTAAGTTTTCAGGTTTGTTTTCAGATACGTTTCAGGTACATTTCATTTCAAATTTGTAAAACTGAAGATATAGCATTTGGGTTTTGTTGAAATCTTACGATTTGCGTGTATTTGGAGGATGCACACTCTCCATTTTCAGTCAAATAGTTATTTGAAAAGTGAATCTTGAAGGGGTAATTTTGTATTAGTTTAAAAATTACTGCATTATTATAATTTTGTGAGGTAATATTTATACTTTCTTTAAAATATTACAAAATAACAGACTGTAAATATTTGACTTATCACATGTATTGGAGTGTATAGCTATACATCACTAATTGAAAACAAATCTGGTCAGGAACATTATTTGGATATTAACAACGTAATGATGACATGACTTAGATTTCATGAAAAACTATATTAGTCTATGTATATTTAATGAAGTATGCAATATTTTTCTTAGTATGAAAATCTCTTTATGGATGGACTATAAATCAAAAGCTAAGTTAGAGTCTTGAAATACAACAGCCATATGTTGCCATGGTACTGTAAGTCAAGATAAATGTTAAAGATAATAATGGATACGCATAATAAGGTGTAGCAAAACTGTACTAAGAACCTAATAGATTATTGAATCCCCCATGATTTTTACCACTTTTTCAACACTATTTCAAAATAGCACAGCTTGGTTATAGTATAAATTTTTCTTCTGATATCCAGTAATTCTTATTTTAGGACTGTGATTAATGCTGCATACATGGAGAGAGCTAATGAATTTCTAATAGTGTAATTTTTGTCCATGTCAGCTAATCGTATGCTCAGATTTTTTTTTCTTTTTTATTTAAGGTGCAGTTAGTTAAGGATATTGTACTAATCTCAGACACACAATATCCCACTGATGATATTTCTCATTTGTGTAATTGTGTATGATAACATTTTCATGTCATTAAAGTATAAATTCTGTCTTGTCCCACGTATGGTAGCAAAACCTAGCTTTGATCAGCAAGTTCCATTTTTCCAATCTTTTATGTAAGATAAATCTTTTATGTATGTTTTTTGTATTTCTGTTTTTGGCATTTGATCTATGCTAATATCTGCTTATCATTTAAAGAGGGTAAAATGCTCTCTAATTAGGTGGTTGGTAAAATTTTGGTACTTTGGCTTTCTGTGTTGTTGTTAGCCATGCATAAAATGCTTTCCTATTGATCAGTGTAGAATAGCCAGGGTTTAAACAGCTGACATCTGCTTACTTTAAAAAAAGAAAAAGAAAACAGAATAACAAACCATTTCAGCCTAATCTACCTCAAATGTGTGCATGTAAATGGGGGTCCATCTATTGACCTGCATTCTTTTCAGTTGTGGATTGGTCCACACGGTTTATGAAACCAGGAGGGCTGATTTGAAATGCAGATGTCGAGACAGTGAACTACACCCTCCCCTTTTTCCTTTGCTGTATCTGTCAGGGTGAAAAATGGCTTGCACAAGGGTCAGTCACCCATACTCACTTAATTACTTTCCTTGGACCTACAGAACTGTCACAAGCTGTGGTGGATGCAGGAGCTGTTCCTCTTTTAGTGCTCTGTATCCAGGAGCCAGAAATTGCTTTGAAAAGGATTGCTGCTTCAACTCTCAGTGATATTTCAAAGCATTCTCCAGAGTTAGCACAGACAGTAGTGGATGCAGGAGCTATCGCTCACTTAGCTCAGATGATCCTGAACCCTGATGCTAAACTGAAGGTACATTTACAAATTATTTTTTTAATCTCCATTATACCAATCATTACTTGACATTGAATCAGAGACACTGATGTCCATATTTATTTAGGAAGCTCTTGTTTTGGGCGCTAACAAAATGTAACTACATAGTTAGTGACAAAGAGTTGTGAACATATTCACAGATTTAGCTACTGGATAAAAACTGCTGCTCTGTGAGGAACAGCTAAACTAATCTTTAAAGTGAATAGTATGATTTTTTTTTTTTTTACAATTATATACTGTATGAAGAATGCAACAGATATTTTTAATAGATAAAATTTGCAAAATTCAGTTACAGAAAAGGTTTGCGTACTATGCGTACTATAATCCAGTTAATATTAAATGTATTATTGTATTTTAGAATGTACTGTCTGATGTAAATAGCTGTTGTCGAAGGTTTAGCCACTAGAGTTTAACTGACAAAAAATTTGTTTCTTAATATAATTTTTCTGTTTAACAGAAACAGAAGACAACATAAAAATGCCACTTGAAACAAATAGATAAAAATTCTTTAATACAAGGTCTGACAGACCAAACTTATGCAAATAAAGATACTTTCTATAGATTTCACTAAATTTTAAATTACAGTTTTAAATGGTATATATATTTTTTCCTTTTTAATACATAGCAAGCTTGAATGGGATAAAACAAAGGAGAAACTTTTATTCAGGAACCAGCGAATGTTCTGTGCCATTATATTCGTGCATGAATTGACTCAGTGAATTGTAAAATAGCTGTAATTGTTTTCCCTATCCTGCTTTGTTTTCCTTGATGCAATAGATTTTTGTGTGCAGGAGTGTATGTTGTGGGATGTTTGTATATTATTGATTTTATAACAATTTTTATTTACTAGCGTCAGGTGCTGTCAGCTCTAAGTCAAATAGCAAAGCATTCAGTGGATCTTGCAGAGTTGGTGGTTGAAGCAGAAATTTTCCCAGTTGTGCTCACATGCCTGAAGGACTCAGATGAATACATCAAGAAAAATGGTGCAACTTTAATTAGAGAGATAGCAAAGCATACGCCTGAGGTAAAACCTTGAAAATGCAAATACAAGGTCATATCATTAGATTTTACACTTTAAATAAAATACAGGATTATTCTGTCATTTGCTTTTTGAAATGGAAGGCAAATAGCTGTTTGGCATGTTCGCTGGAAAAATATGGAAATGCTTGCTGAAGTTATGAGATGTGTATTGAATATGAATTTGGTTAGGAAAGTGGGAATCATATAATGCATACCTAGCTACTTTATTCCATAAGATATCTCGCAGAGAGGGAATTTTAGCCTGACAGTATTGTCAGTCCTAGATATTAAAAATATCATGAGAAAAGCCTCACAGAAGTCATGATACCAGCTAATAAATGACAAGATCAGCCTATAACAATAATAGATGGTGTGTGTCTTTTCTAAAAATCTTCTGGGGTGCTGGGATCACATTTTAATTATTTTTCCAATGACAATGAAGGGCAAAAGTTCTCTTAGTTATTATTAAACTGACGGTAGTTTCTTTTATTAGCTTGAGTTCATAATTTGAGTCTCACCATTTGCAATGTTTTTGCCAATAATTGATACAGGAAGATGGGGATGTTTGGCAAAGTCAATACAAAATAAATAGGAAAAACAAATAATTGTAACTATGTTAATCTGTCAGACCATAGAGATAATTAAAAGGCTGTAAATATGACTCTGGAATGAAATACAAGCAATGTATTTGTGGAACACACTAATGCTGAGCACAGTCATTTCAAAATCATGATACTAGCTTAACAATTGAGAAGTGTTTGTTTAAACTTGAATATTGTGCTGTTTCTTCAGTCTGCTAGTCTTTAAGCTGTTGGTGATTAAAGGTTGCAGTCTTGTCACATTTCCTGCTTTCTCTCTGCACCTCATGAGCAATGCAACTTCACTTTCTCAAAAAAGTGAAGAAATTATAATTATCAAAGGGGGGCACTAGAGTCGGAAGCCAGAGGCCAAACTCACAAGACTGCAGGTAAAGTCAGAAGAGCTGCTAGCGCAGGATCCTCCATGCAAGGGGAATTGGCCATTCTAGCAGCTCTCCAAAGGAGCTGTAGGAAGTATCTTGGTGACTCCCAGTGGGAAGACACAAACCACGTTCCACTTTAGAGTGACAGTGATCTCTGTCCATCTCTGAGCAACTCTATTCAAGCAACACGTTGCAGCAGAGACAGATTGGCAAACGATATTTCTAGAGGAGTTGGCTGTGTCAGTCATGTGAGCGTTGTGGCTTTTGGATCTCAGCTCTGTATCTGCATATGCAGTAAAATTCATGTGAAGGTCAGGATCTGGGGGACTTGCAGCGGGGCCTGAGGGTCACAGCACCAGGGAGTGTGTCTGTGCAGGAGCTCTGTGTACAGGGCTGTGCCCAGACGTAGGACTTGGTCCTCACTGGCTGCAGTTCGCAATCATGTGGACAGTTTTTCCTAAGTAATAACTTTAAATTTCATCTAGCTGTTTAATGAAGAAAACAGTCCCCTTTTAAAGGCTCTAAGGCAACAGTGGATTTTATGTTTATTGTCCTGGTTTCGGCTGGGGTAGAGTTAATTTTCTTCTGAAACCAGGACATTCATATAAATCAATTGGATTGGAAATCCACATGCCTCAGTTTTGTTCATTTGATTTTGACTTAACGTGTTTCTTTTGCTTTGGAATCTGGGAAAAATGTGATATACCTAATAAGATAGAAGAAAATAATCATAATATGAAGTTATTTTAATTTCTATGCATTGTTGATATCATACATACACTACTGCTGTCCTTCAAGTGATGTGAGAAGTGATACCTTTTCGAAAGAAACATGTTGCATAGCTTGATACACACAGCAAGCATCATAGACTGTGGACATGATTATCATTTATAAGCAAGGCTATATAGTTTGGCGTTCTGGGGCAAACTCCATTGCCCATCTAGTGTGTTCCCTGGACACCTCCCTCAGAATACCCTAACATGGCAGAATGGTGTAGTCCAAGTCGGTTTTGCGCATCCATGACAGTTGTCTTTGGCTTCATGCCTCAATAGGGGGATCCACAAAGACTTTTATGCTGCAGAGGTTATCTAGAATGCAGGTGAGAGGAGGAGTGGGCCTTTCCCTCTGTCCCTGCATGGAACATATGATGTTGGCTTGGGAATGAGTGGGCACTAGTATGAAAGACTATCTGGCTCAGTAGGTGCATCTTCAAGGGCATTCATGTATTAGGCTGTCATTTGCATGATTCTTTGGTGTATGCTAATGGTGTTGAGAATATGTCATTCCATGCTGTACAGCATCAAGAATTCAGAGTCCTGATTTCCTTGCAGTAAAGTCAATCAAAAACAGAGTAGCAAAACAGCTTCATTCCTGAGAACTTCATGCTGCACTTAGTGCCCAACAGTCTGTATGATACATCACTCTTATTCCAGCTTTATTTTGTAAATCAGGAGCAATACACTGAAAGACTTTTCTGATGTAGTGCTTTATGCCTGTTGATACTTCACAGTATCTAATCTCTTCCGTTTATCTTTTCAGCTTTCACAGCTTATAGTAAATGCAGGTGGAGTTGCTGCTGTGATTGATTGTATTGGCAGCTGCAGAGGGACTGTCAGACTGCCTGGCATCATGATGCTTGGTTACGTAGCAGCTCATTCGGAGAACCTGTCAATGGCAGTGATTGTCTCCAAGGTTAGCTATCACTTTGTTGTCTTCCTATAACTCTTCAGTGGTATTCTGAGAAAGAGATACAAATTAACATAGGAGGAGAATGTATTTTGTGACAGAATTATATACTTGCTGTTGATGAATGCACGTTCTCCTAATATTGCTGCTTGCTGTGGCTGAAATTATGTGGTAACCTGATCAACGTGTGTCTTTATGAAGTTGAACCTTTTATAAAATGTCCTGGATTAGTTTGTGAACATCCATTTGTATTATGGTACATGATTTTTCTGTGCTGCAATTGCATGGGTACAGAAAATAAGTCAGTGAATTTCTATGGTCTGTTTCCTCTTAAAATGAATACTTGTGGCTACATCAAAACCCTTTTTGAAACAAGAATGTTTAATGGCACGTTCTTCATTGCACTAGCATGACTCTGCTAGTACTGCTAGAGTAGTCTTGCAACAGGAATCTTCAGACTTGAAAAGACCTCAGTTTCTAATGTAGTATGGTTTGATTCAGTTGTGCAAGTGACATTTCAAAGGAGATAAGCTATACATTTTCGGGTTTAAATAAATTCTGCTGGGCAATGATATAGAAGGGAAAGAATTTGCAATATTCACAATAGGTGAAATTAGTGCCTGACATAATACTCTGATGTGAATAATGCTAACTAATGAGAGGAGGGAGGAAGTAATTTCACTGAGCATTGTTGGCCCATTTTCACACTGTGTCAGTCATTTAAAATATACTGTATGAGTGGAAACAACAAAACAATAAAAACAGAGGAACAGAAATGTCTTCTAGTAGGAATGCAAGTTAAAAAATGGAAATTGCTACAACGTAACATCAGTAAGCATGCAGGGAGGGTAGGAGTGATCAAAAAAATGCTCTTCTGCATTTGAAAACTAAAGAAATAGATACTTTTTCCTTGCCCTCTCTGGATGCCCTTCTTCCCTGGATGTGTCTCCGTCTCTCCACTTTCAGGGATGCCTAGAGCAAATATGCTCCTGCTGTTGAATGCTTGACGTTAGGTGGGATGAATCCAGGATTCATGAGGAATTCCTCATGCTTCATGAGGAAGCACCCAAGTGATAAATTTTTGAAGAGTAATAATGTTTGCTACCGTAACTGAATGGGAGCACAGTGAGAGATTTTGTAGGAATCTGTGCAAACTCTCATGAAATTAAATATTTTAATGAATGATCCACAAAAGAAACCCAAATAAACCCAAAAACCACTTAAAAAAAATTTCTTTCAGGGGAAACTAAGCTTGTGGAATGGTACATAGTGGTGAGGACATGGCTTGGTAAACTGGAACCATTTGAAAGAAGTGCACTGTGGCATAACCCCATGCAGTTACACATCTATGATGTTATGATGTAAAGTGATAGCTCCATTCCATGTTACTGTATCCTGGAAAGGATGAATTTTGAAAAATGATTTTTGGGGTCATACTGGACAAACACTTCATTGTGGTCTTCTATTGCAGTGCAGTGGCAAAAAAAAAAAAAAGACAATTCAGTCCTTTGTGATATTAAAGAGTGGAAGATGAAGCATTATTAGAAAAGAGAAGTTAATCTATCTGTAGTACTAGTGCATATAGTTCTGTTGTCTGTATTTGAAAAGGATCTTGAAAAAACCCCGAAGAGTATGCAGAAAAGACTAAAAAATGATCCATGGGATGGAGAAAAATGTTTTCTAGTTAGGGGTTTAGTAGCCTTGCCTTACCTGAAGTAGCATGAAATGATTCCTATTGAAGTACCCTGGCATAAAATACCAGCTACTAAGTAGCTCCATAATCCTGTGGGGAAAGGATAAAGACTGTGACCCTGAACCAGAAGAACTTCAGTAATAGCTGGATGTGAGTGAGGTATTCTCCATCTGTTGATGTCTTCAAATCAAGAATTGAAACCTTTCTGGAAGTCATTGGATGAGTCAAACATGAACTACTGGACTCAGGAAGAGGTTGATAAGTTGAAATTTAGTGCTGTGGATAAAAAAAAAGAAAGACTCAGTGATTCAGCCCTTCTGGTCTTAAGCTGCTTTCATAGATTCATAAACACTCAAATTCTTTTCTTTTCAGTCTGACAAAACTGAAGCCTTTACTCTTAGTACAGCCTGAATTGTGTCATGTATTCCTTTTATCCCTTAAATTTGTGTGTTAGCTCAGACTGCCTTCTGACTTAGAACATTGAATCTGTTTTTCTCTTTCTTTAACTAGATTTATTAAGATTTATTCAAAATTCTTGCTAGTCATGATGTTGTAAAAATATGACACCACTAGCATGCGTTCTCTTATAGCTTATTTTAGAAGAGTGTAAATAGAGAAACATTTTCTAACAATCTGTATCAGTTTCAAGTTGTCCTTCCCTGGCGTAGATTTGTAAAGGTTGTGTGCTTTTGATTAATGCTACAGGGAATACCACCACTGTGTGCCTGCTTGATAGAAGAACATGAAGATCATATTAAGGCAGCAGCTGCTTGGGCCTTGGGACAGGTTGGAAGACATACTCCTGAGCATGCACGTGCTGTTGCAGTAGCGAACGTGCTACCCACACTGCTTGCTATGTATATGGACACACGCAGTTCAGAAGATCTTCAAATGAAAGCAAGTATATTTGTAGTATCTGCAGTATGAGATATTTATTGTAATCAACAGGTATAAGTGCTTAAAAACTACTAAATGGTATGTGCTTTGATTGATGTTCATTGAGTCACAGATTTCCTGGGTGTAGGGTGGCCGAAGGCTGTGTGTCATTAATTAGGACTGGCTGGTCCTAATGGGTGTGCATATGGTGCATACCAAATCATATGTTACAATCACAGCAGTCTAGTCCCTCATTTTCTTCCCAGTTTAGATCAGAGTTGCATACACCCATAAATGCTGTAATTTCTTGTGAGTGACTGATTTCTAATTATCTACTTTTTTTTTTTGAAGTATAAGCTCTTGTGCAAAATACTGTAGTCCTTGTAGTAGATTTGCTTACATTTTTATTATTATAGTAAAACTGTAACAAATACTCAAAGCTCTTGAAAACATGCAACTGTTTGTGTTTAGGGCCTTCCTTGTGTGGGAGCTAGTAGAGTTGCAGTTTGGTGAAGTTTATTTTTGAGCAACAGTAAGTGAACCAACTGAAGAGTGTAATACGACAGGATATGGTCTCCCATTTTGTACTATGCTTCTGTACATTCTACTGAAGTATAATGTTCCAGATCTGTAAAATAACTTTTGTATAGTCATTTTCAGTGGTCACCAAAATATCAAGGACAAATTAGCTGTACCTATAAACCTACCCAAGAAGGTCATTACTGCTTGTAGCAGTCAGCATTGAGTCTGTTTTCAACTAAGCACTGATGTACAGCTGTTTCACTCTCTCTTTCCCTCCCTGCCTGGATGGTAGTGCACTTTGCTAGTAAGCCACTTCTAAAATACAATCTTTCAAAATGTGTTTTGATTTAGCTTTCTTATTATATTACAGTACAATTTATTTAAAGGGTCTACTACTGCTTCCATTTTAGTCAAAGGAAAATTGCCATTGCTTTGACCATAGATAACATAATAAGAATATGATGCACTGTAGGTTTTGAGGTTTAATAAATCTAAGTAGAAAATTGATTCTTCATTAAGTGACCTGATAGATATCATAATTTTTATTCAGAAAATGCTCTTTGAGAATTCTGATCAATTTGCTTTTTTGATCAGAATTCAGTGATATATAACATGAATTCTTGTTGTTTTCATTGACATCTTACTAGAGAAATTTTATTTTGCATTTCAATAGACTAAAAAAGCCTTAAAGAACATCCTTCAGAAATGCACGTATCTTCCAGCACTTGAACCATTGCTGCATGATGCCCCTCCCAATATTATGAAACATATTGTTGGGCAGTTTAGTAAGGTAAGAAAAGGCTCTGCTTGATGACTAATATGTTAATTGTTTTCCATTTAGCAAGGAAGCTATCTTTCAAAAGATGAAGTCTCTCTAAAGGTCTCAGTTGTTTTCTCAGGATCCTCAAGCATCCCCTGCAGAAGTAGTTTGGAGCATCACATTCTTTTGTCTGATAAAGCTGGATACTGTTTCATCTGGAACCTGCCATAATTCATCCTAAGACTGGGAAAACAGTTGCTTATAAGCAAGGTGTTTTTTTCTTCCTTGCCTCTTGAGACTATGTGGAATATTAACTCACGTGCAAATATTTTCACTGAGCCAGTGTATCACATAAATCCCAGTCACATCTGTTTTAGATAAAGTACAAGCTGTCTGTACAGGAGTGACTTAAGTCAGGTATTTTACAATAATCTAGAGTACAAAAGCTTCACCACTTTTATCCTCATTAATTTTAAGTCTCAATTAAGTAAGTGTAAAAATCCCAAATCTTTTCTCATCCCTCTCAAAATTTGAAACTGTTTGTTATTAATTACATTGTTGATTTGAGCGCAGCATGTAAAAAGTGATACAATTTTATAAAAATATTTCAAATTATTTAAGTAATTGCTAACTAATCAGGAGATTTCCAGTGTCTGCAGTGTTCACCAGCTGTTGGAAATCTGCTCAACTATAGACTTTTTGTGCAATACTCTGCAGTGTAATCTGTTAGCAGCGGGTACCAGGCTCTCTTGGTGAGATATTCTTTCTGGAAGTGGCCAAGTAGAACACTCTTGATATTCAGTTCTGATTATCACAGATCTGGAAGCACTACTGTTTGTAGTGCAGATTCCTGATTACATTGCCACATTTAGGTTTGTCCTGTCTTCTTGCTAAGTCTGTACAAAGATTGGAGATTTGCTCAGAATCCAGTGCCTTTTGCTTCTGTGTGCTGACTGGAGCTATTAAGGAGCTGAGTGCATAGTAATTGGTTACCCAGTGTATAGGTTTGAATGTTGTTTGCTGTTGAAGTGGTTTTGTACCCTTCATGTCAGCTGATGTTTTGTTTTGTTTCATTTTTCTTCTTCTCCTACATTATATTAAACAAACTATACTTGTCTGGCATTTGCTCTTCTGAAGTATACATTTAAAATTAAGTTATCCGCAGTAAAAGCATTTTTCTCTCCTGTACCATAGCTTGGGAATTTCCTATTCTTAGAGTTCTGCTGTATTACTTCTGTTGGCTTATTTATAGCACAGTAAAAGCCTTATTTCTGAGCTGTGCTTCAGAGTGAGATGCTATCCGTTCTTAGTGCTGGACTGTGTCATTTTAGCATTATCCTTTTCAGGGTCTGTGCAATTCTATGCTGTCTCAGTTTGGACTGGGGGAAGGGACTGCGTCTCAGAGGTCTTTAGGGCCTCTTCCAAGAGAGTTTTCTGCTGTCTTATCCAGCCTGGGAGTCACAGTGGGGAGGAGGAAGGCAGGGAAAGGGCCATATCCTGTCTCCTTGCTAGTTCCTTCTTGGCAGTTCTTGTTCTGGGAGATAGGTGGAAACAGCCGTCTTTGCAGTTCCCACAACGAAATGATCACAGTTGTTCCTGACACTTCTGTGGAGCATATAATAGGGAGAAGTCTCTATGCTCCCCTGTTTTTTCTTTACCCGTCTGTTGATTTTGTACAGCCTAGAGGAACCAGAGAAGTGAAGGCTGTTTGCTTATATGCATGGCAGAAATCTCATCCTTCTTTTCCTTCATCCTTTTAGGCAATCCCTTCCTCCTTCAAGACTCTTGTTTTACGCTGAGATACAGTTAAATTTATAGCTTGATTTGTCTGACCAGTGTGAAGGCTTACAAAATGCTTTTACCCCCATAGTATGTAACTGTCAGAGTTGGTTTTAAACCCATCTGGTTTTGTTGTAGATGCAGCTGACGTCTTGCATTCTCTCTCTCTCTCTCCCCCCCCCCCCCCCCCCCCCCTTTTTTTTTTTTTTTTAATATTTTTGCAGCCCTGTGGGCCTATGGACTACATGCTGTCATTCTCCCTTGCCTGGCCCAGCCCCCACTTCCTTCCCTCCCTCCCTCCCTCCCTCCCTCCCTCTGGACGGAGCTGCATATTGGCATCACTCGGGGAGCGCAGAATGTATTGTCTGATCATTTCTGCTTCTCGTCCCCCTTGGCTGCAGAAACTTCGCATTTTTGCTTTGTGTGTTTGTGTGTGTGTTTGTAAAAGGCTTCCATGGCTACACAGTGTGTTGCAGGATTTTAATATCTAGGAATTTAATAGTAGTAGCATGTAATGCTTCAAGGCTGCATTGTTCACTTGCAACAATTCTCAGTATTGTTTTCATGCACTAATCTATACTAGATCATTATAATGATATAAAATTCTGCTCTACAATTAAACTGTGGGAATTGACATAAAAGACCTGAATAACTTGGTTTAAGTGGAGCAGATGCTGTTGTTATTCCATATTAGTGTTCTGGTTTTATTATCTATTTAATCTCCGCAATCGTATTGTCTCTGTAGGAATAATTCAAGAAATATTATTTACATAAAGATAAATATTAAATTCAGTATTTTTATATGTTATGTATTAAAGTACATGTTAAATTGTGTTATAACAATAAAGGACTGGTTTATGATTTTTTTCCTCTACAACTGGGTGTTAAAATACAGTAGTCATTACAGATGTTGTACCTCTGATGTGTTCCATTTTATCTGTCCTCTGAATTAAAAACAGATAAGCAATATTTGAGCCTAGTAGCACAGAGATTCCTTTAAAAGAAAATGTTCTTTTTTTAATGTACTTTTCTGTGTGTAGGTGTTACCACATGACAGTAAAGCACGTCGTCTCTTTGTAACAACTGGTGGACTTAAAAAGGTTCAAGAAATAAAAGCAGAACCTGGGTCACTTCTTCAGGAATATATCAACACTATTAACAATTGCTATCCAGAGGAAATAGTAAGGTAGGGAAAATGAAATTTAAAAAATTCATACTTACAACATTGTTAGACCTTTTTCACAAGAACAACACAAAGCAAGGATTTACAATATTAATTTAACTTCTACGTGAATTTTGTTTTTAATGAAACAGCATAACATTTGGTTAACTGCCCCAGTGGTAACACAACCGTTAGACACATACTTTTGAACACTTTCTCTTTTCTGATTGTTTTTGGGATCAAATTTCTTTGTCTGTAAACAAAGGCCAAATAATCATGCTCTTGCAGGAAACTGGGGGAGAAAAGTCAGTCCTGCACTACCCAGACAAACTCCGAGACTTCAGCACAACCGCTCTCATATTAACGAATGTCTGTGGGAAGTTTAGTTTATCTTGATAACTTACTTGTGGGTTACTCAGGCTCCAAACTACAGGTATTGGTGAATCTTTGCTTGCATCCTTGACTTCCCTAAGAGCCTGTCTGAACTAGTGTATTCAGAGGCTCCTTTGAAACTTCCTCTGATGTACAGAGGGACCAGAGGCTCTTCTGCACAGTTGCTCTGCCCACAGCTGCCCTTCCTCCCCCAGCCTCATCATGAGGCTTAAGTGTTATATAAAAGGACCATACACCAGCTGTCTGCAGCAAGTTGAACTTTGCCCTTAATGAATACAGAAACACTATTAAATAGCTTACAGTCAAAATGTCACCATCCTAAATTGTAATAATGAGAGAAATGCCCTCCTAGATTCTAGATATCCATTTACCAGTCCTTCAGTCCATCAACACATCAAAAGGATGCTGTACTCGTGCACTCCCTCTACAGGCTCTGAAAATCTGCATCATCAATTTTAATTACAGCAACAGAGTTCTTCAGCTAATAGTAGCTACAAACTAAGTCACGCAAAATGAAGCCCCGTTTGCCTCCACAAGGAAAAGCCAGGGGCTGGGAAAATGGGAAAGGAAAAACATAAAAAAAAT